TTTGGAAGTAATATAACACTTTTCTTAAATCGGGCTTACATTTAATGGTTGTATAAATGTTATAAGTTGAAAAGAGTACATATTGTGATTGTTCATGAATTTAGCTCAAATAAATAACAAAAATACATACATATGGACCAATACAAAAAAAATCTATTTTTGGGGAGTTGAGGAGAAAATTCTTTGCTCACACCTGTGGATCAGCTAGTGACAGAAGTAGTTTAATGACAGGACTACTATGAAGGTCCTCATATGTTGCGAACAGTAGGATGATTAACCTTGATGGTTGCTGCAAAAATTCAATTGGTTGACGATGAACGTCAACAAAAGCAGTGGCTACGTCCTTAAGAAATAGTTCAGGATTCCGTAATTGATGCGTTTAAAGATTTAGTAAGACCAGCTTGCCTTGGTTTCAGGCTCTTTTCTCGTTTCTCTTTTCCTGAAATCTTCTTAAACGTTACGTCAGCATTTTTAGAAATGGAGATTCAACAAGAATCTAGATGAGGTACCTCTGGGCACAGGTGGATCTACGGTGGGAGGGGTCGTTTTCGGGGTGAAGCCTCCCCCAAAATGGTAAAATGTAGCCAAATCTTATGAAAGAAATATTAAAAAATTATCTCTAAAAGTATTATTGTTCGTGTAATTACATTTAATAGGACTACAAGAATCAATTTAACACTGTTTCATATACGTATTTAGTTTATTTCTCCTTCATTCAAAGTATCAATTGTCATATATATATATATATATATATATATATATATATAGAGAGAGAGAGAGAGAGAGAGAGAGAGAGAGAAAAGGTTTTCGGGCTGAAGCTCCCCCCTCCCAAATTAAATCCTGGATCCGTTATTGCCTCTGGTCAACAAAACCATGCAGTGTCCAGTTCATATTTTTAGTAAGATTGAAGATGACTGAACGAATTATACTGGTTAAAATTTATGTTATCAAAACTATCGATAACATGTGCAATTTTTAACTGGAAAAAGAAGGTTTAATTAATGCCTATGCCAGCACAATTGCTATAATTTTAAACATATAGGTACAAGACATACATTATGTAGTTGTGACAATTGTTGTTTTGTAATGTAATAAAATAAAATGATCAATGAAGCAAATGGATATAAGATATATTGAACCAACAAAGGTTTTAAGTCCCCTCTTAGTTTATGTCAAACTTCGAATGAAGGCTAACTATTTAATTGTCATTTAACAAAAAGAAAAAAAGAAAGTGGACTGTATCTTGAAGCATTTACGAAATTTAATACTGATAACAACAGAAATCATTTTTACAACTTGTTAGATAGGTAAAATAAAAATAACAAACTTCTAGCATAAAAAAATAAAAAAGACAAGTTGAGTAATGGCAAAAAACAACTGTGACAACATCCAATGAAATATTTCCATGCTTGATCATGAAAATACAAAAACTAAAAAAAAACTATTTATATGGCCCAAATTACAATAAAAATAGAAAATAAAAACAAACTTCTCCAGAGTCCCAAAATAAAATTTATATATATATATATATATATATATATATATATACGTTGTACAACCTAATTATTCTATTATATATATATATATATATATATATATATATATATATAAAAATAATTAGGTTGTACAAAGTTACGTGGACGAAGCAGGACGTTCGTAACTCTCTATCTCTATGCAGAAACCAAGTGTAGATTTTCAATGAGCGTGCTCTAAACGAACTGCAAGTGGATAGCGGCGAGGGAGGACCGAGAGAGAGAAGTATCTCTTTTTCCTTAGAAGTGGAAGTCAGACTGTGTATTGCGAAGTCAACAGGCTTAGGACTTGGACCTAGGACCTGTTTATAGCTAGGGCTACAATCCATAACAAGTTGTCTAAGTATAAACCATTGACCTATTTAATATAAACAATATAAGCTATGGGCCTATAATACTTAATATACACATGATCATTATATACATAAATATACATATTATTAGTTTATTTCACTTTGATGAAATAAACCAAATCAACAATTAACCAAACTATAGTTAAATGTAAAATAAAATAAATTAACGCTGTGGCATTAACAAAAGGAATAAACTCTAACCTCATCAACCTCTTTAAAAAACTTATGTCTAAATAAAACGGGATATTATCTCTATCGATATTCTTTAATATCATATTTGTTGTAACACTACTGGTCACAAGGGGACAAAGATTTGTAAAGCAAAGCGACAACAGATGAACTCATGAACAATTTTATTGAAGATCACATAGAACAGTAGAACTTAGTTATGACCCAAGTATGAGGTTATCTCTCCAATCATATGACAATTTATAACAATTCTCTCCCACAAAAAAAATTAATCAGTGCTGCATTAAAAAAGTAGGAGAATGTAAATAACTTAAAAATTGAAAGAAAAATAACATATTCCTAATTTACATATAGTGTAATCTAATGTTCGAAGCACAGAATACATAATTTAAACCTATCTATCTTTCTATCTTAATGGCTCTACAACCATCAGTGGGTCCTGGCCTCCTCAAGAGCTTCCGCCAAATTTATCTATTCTGAAATGAAATGAAATGAAAATGAATGAAATGAAAAAATAATTTTATTCTGGGACTACTGTCCCCTAAGAATAATAACAGAGTTACAAATTTATGTATCTTAGTTTGACATAATAAAAATACCAACTAATTTATTGTTAATTGTTATTTCAATTGTGCAATGGATTGCAATTAAACATTGTATAGATGCAAGTAATTTTACATGCTAGGGGAAGTTTGAATGTGGAGTAGGTGTTGGAACAGGAGTTGTTTGAAGTAATTTGTGGATGAGGATTGACGCATGGAGGTAGGAGGTGAGTTTCATAAGGAAGCAGCACGAATGACGAAGGATTTGCTGAAGGAGGAAGTTTTATGGGAGGGAATATATAAGTCTATAGGTTGAGACCTAGTATTGAGAGAGTGGATAGAGGAGCGCAGAGTAAGGAGTTCCAGGATGTAGGGAGGGCTTTTGGTTCTGAAGACTTGGAAAAGGAAAACGCCAAGAAGGAATTGTCGTCGGGAAGTAGGATAAAGCCACTTCAACTCGGTGTACCATAGTGAAACATGTGAACGCCTGGGGATCCCGAAAATGTATCTTATGAAACAATTCATGAGTCTTTTTAGTCTCATTTCCAGCCTGGCAGATAGCCCTCCATACACCAAGCAGCCGTAGTTGAAGTGGGGGAATACAAGGGAGGTTACAAGGAGCTGTCTGGTTTTTAGATGAATACAATCACGGAATCTTAGGAGTTGTTTAAGGGCATTTATGGATTCGGGTAATCTGGGAGATATGATTATCCCAGGAGAGGTCCTGGTCAAAGGTTACTCCTAGGTTTTTGACTGTAGGGAAAACATGGATGGGATGGTTATTGAGGTAAATTAGAGGAAAGTAAGGAAGTGAGCTGATGAGATGTTTGGACCCGATGATAATAGCCTTGGTTTTATCTGCATTCAGCTTTAATTCATTTATTTCTGCCCATCTGTTGATGCAGTCGATGTCCTCTTGTAGCCTCCGGGCAGCCTCAGGCATCTCAGAAGGTTGGAATGATTGGTACATTTGGAAATCATCGGCATATAGGTGGTGTGTTTTGTACATGATGTACAAAACCAATTTTTTTTTGTTGCTGCGATAAGTCGGCTTCAGAGACGTTAATACATTTTTTATGGTTTATTAATTTGCACGTTGTGCAAACAAATGTAGTTTTATCTTCTATGGCAATGGTATTATTGCATTTAGGACATAGAGTCATCGTGAGCAGCTGATTAACTGGGTAATAATAATAGAGTAGATACCGGTAGAGGTGGTGGGGAGAGGTGGTTGTAGGGTGGTTGTAGTAAATTGTTTTCTTACCTTATATTGTTTTTAGGTATTGATGATTTAGTTCAAAAGTTAATATTAATCGCCAACGCAATTAACATTAACAGCACTTTAAATATTTTAGTGACGGTGAACTGAACTGTAATATCACAACTTGAAATTAAACACGAACACCGATGCTATCTGTTTGAAGGCTAGGGCCAGACTCAATTCTGTGCGGCCACTTTCCAGTTTCTGACTCTGACAGGTCTCTAGCGTCACCTGCCACATCTGCCCATGTCAATCTCGGTCTGCCAGCTCTCCTCGTATGGTGCAATAGCTCCTCAAGCAGTCTTATCGGGATTTCAGACCTCTCCATCCAAGCTATGTGTCCTGCCCAACTCAGCCAACTTTATTATTCTGGTCACATTAGGTTCATTAAACAATTCGTAGACCTCTCCATTCTTCCGAAGTCTCCAATCCAGTCCCTCCTTTATAGGGCCAAATATTCTTCTAAGGATTTTCCTTTAAAAGAGCAGGTCTTTTTCGTCATTTTTGGCTAAGGTCCATGTTTGGCTACCGTAGGTAAGAACTGGAAGGATGAGCGTTTTATAGAGCTGCAGCTTCGTTCGCCTACTTAGTAGTGAGCTCCTCGTGTGCTTAGGTAGGCCAAAATAGCATCGATTGGTAGCTGTTATTCTCCGCTTTATTTCAAGTGATGTCTAATTTTTTGCTGTAATTTCAGATCCCAGATAAGAGAACTGTCGGACATTCTCAAAGGTGTAAGAGTCTAGAGATATTCTTTGGTTTTGGAGATTCTCTCCTTCTTCTGTAAACATATATTTTGTCTTATTCTCATTAATATGAAGCCCCATCTTAGCTGCAGCTTTTTGCAATTCAAGGAAGGCGCCTTCGAGAGCTGCAATAATATCAATGTCGTCAGCGTAACCTAACAGTTGCACCATATTTGTAAATATCGGTACAGATTTAAACCTAATCTGAGGAACTGTGCACTACATAATCTTGGAGGTGTCGAAGCTGTTGAGGGGGTCGATCCGAGCTTCTCAATTCAATTGGATTGCTATCTTGTTCTCCTTTCTTGGGTTGTTGAGGTTCATACGCTGGCGTTCTTTGAGTATAGTAATGAAGGAATGGCAGAAGTTGGTGTTTTTCTATGGATTGCTGCTTTCTTCCCACCGTCAAACTATGTACTGGTAGAGCCGATAAAGTTGTCTTCTTTGGTATGTTGGTTCAAAGTAGTTGATTGATATGTCGTTTGTACTTGCATCCATCGTCAAGTTTCACTAGATAATGAAGACGTCTATACTTGTAACCAAGATATTTATTTTCATTTTTGAAAAAATCGCACTTCCTTTTGTTCAAGTGAAGGTCGATTTTCTTAAACGATCCAAACAAATTTGTAGCCGGTTTTGCCGTTCTTCTATTGTCTTGCGAAAGACAACGATATTATCGAAATATGAAATTGTACCGTCGAATCCTTGAAGAATCTTGTCCTAAATTCTATTAAATTCACTGAGAGCCGTATTTACGCCGAATGATAGGCGATTCATCAAATAGGTTCCGCGATGAGTTAAAATCGTTTGAATCGATGTGTCTTAGGTCCATCTTTTGTCCATTTCGATGTGTAGATAGGCGTTGTATAAGACCAACGGGCAAACATAAGATGATCCTTGGAGACTGTTCAAAATTTCTTGGATTCTTCTAATTGTATATCTAGCATTTTGTAACTGAAGATTTACCACCGTATTGTAGTCGACACATAATCGGACAGTTCCTTCCGGTTTTTTGGACGATGACCAATGGGAAACTCCAATCACTATGATCTATTTTTGTAATGATGTCATCCCTTTCCAGGGAATCCAATTCTACATCTACTTTTTCCTTCAGTGCATACGGGACATCACGGCTGCGATTTAAAACTGGCTTGGCATTCTCAGGAAGATGTAGACTACAAGTGATGTTTGGGACACGACCCACCTTTTGTTCAAAAATAGAACTATATCGAGAGTTGATGCAGAATTTCTGTCTAGCTCATTAAGATTAATCCCCAAGTGTCGAATCCATACTCTGCCAGCAGTGGGGTGTGAACCGAAACAATGAATATTGCTTCTTCTGAAGTTCGATTTTTGTATTGGATATTAGACTTGAATTTTCCGGTATGGGTGAAACATGTTGTTAGTATAGGATCGAAAAGTTAAATTTGATTTTTCGAGTGGTATATTGAGTTTGTGGGCATTGGACTGTGAACGTGGCAGTAATGTGAATCCGGTTCCGGGATCGACTTCAAATTCTTGACATAATTTTTGATATTGACTTGAACAAAATAATTGTCGTTATCACTGAAACATGAGAAGCAATTCTCAAAACTATCAACAATTTGGTTAGTTGTTGAAAATCAGTATTTTCAATTGTTTATGTATTAATCTTTGTGCCATTAACGTTTTTAGGTGGAGTAGACAACAAAGTTTGAAGACAAACTCTCTGAACATGACAGACGTGCAGGACTTGCAGTCAGATAATTTATGAGGGCTTCTACATAAAAGGCAAAACCCATCAATACCGGGTTTTCTATAATTGAGTCTAGATCCTGACCAAAATTTGAATTAGATCGGCTACATTGACCATTCCCAAGTGGGAAAGTGCAAAGTGCAAGACCAAGACCATGACTGCCTAACTGTTCCAAGTCCGTAATGTTAGACTTCAGTCTTAAACACAATCCTCCCTCTTAGGTCTCGGTATGTCATATAAGTAGTATTCTTTTATCTATAAAATAAATTGTAATGACGAAACACGAGAAAAGCAAAAGAAAGGCATACATCAATTTTAATACAAAAATAAAACAAAGAACAACATTCGATAAATGTATATGCTTGTTTCGGTTGCAGATTGATAAGGTTTCAAAATAGCTTGCGGAGCACCCTCCGGTCTCCTTCATTGGTAACTCACGTAAGGACTTATTGCGATGCATCTTCCATCCATGGCGTTAGGTACATCGCCGAGTCCAGCAGGCCCTTTTTTGAAAGGTGAGTGTACTTTTATCAAACTTAACATAACGTCGTAACTGCATAGGGGTGCAAAAGAGAGATATTTTATACTTCTTATAAGAGATATTTTATATTCTGTATACAATAAATAAATGATTATATATTTCATAAAAGAATATAGCCAATAATTATTTTTTTTCACTTTAAATTGATAACCCATATTTTTATATAAGTATACACGGTGTCCCATAAGTAGAGGGAAATATTTAAAAGGTTTATTGTAGGCATCAAGATCTACAATAAAGTACATAGAAACAATTGCCCAATTTCTCGCAGAAAAGTAGGAAACTTAAGATTTTAAGCGAGACACGTTTTTCCTTAAATGGGAAGTGACGAACAAAGCATATTAGCGATGGACTTAAAATTTGAAATGGACAATTGTTTTTACGAACTTTTTTTTTAGATCTTGATTTCTACTATCAACCTTTTAAATATTTCCCTCTACTTACGGATCACGCTTTATTTATTATATAAAAGATAGGATGCAATAATGCTAATTTATCAACAGTTAATTAACAAATTTTTAATACATAACACATAAATATTTCGTTATCAATCTTAAAAAAATACTTTTATTTAGTTTATCGATATCCTTGATTTTTTCATCCACAGTGGCTTAGGTCTCCTCAATCATTCTCTTACCCGTCTTGCCGAATTATCCTCAGATCATAGTGCATTATTACTCCAATTATCTCTCGCTCCTATTCCTAAGTCTTCTCCACCGTCCTTCATCAGAGGCCCAGTTAACTGGAAACTCTATCACCAAATCCTATCCGATAAAATTGACCTCAGAATAACCCTAAAAACCCCAGATGACCTTGACAATGCCGTACACCTTTTCACCACCACTATCCAACAAGCAATCTGGACTGCTTCCTCTCCAAACCACTCCTCAAGAACTCCCAAGAAAATAAGTTACCTCAACACCTCATAGACCTAATCCATACCAAACGCCGCGCCAGATTATTATGGCAACGTACTAGACACCCCATCGATCGTCGCTCCTATAATTTTTACAGTAAACAATTAAAGCAGGAATTGGCCACCTTCAAATCCCAATCCTTCAACTCCTACCTTACTTCCCTCTCTGTTCATGACAATTCCCTATGGAAGATCACCAACAAAATCCTAAAATCCCATCATATTTCCCATCCCCTCCGTCGAAGCGATGGCTCCTGGGCAGCGTCTGATGAAGATAAAGCTGAGGAATTCGCCAGACACCTCTCCAGAACATTTACCTTTCATCCGGAATCCAACCTCACCCATACCACAACAGTAGAAGAATTCCTTACATCACCCATTCCACTTTCCTTGCCACCTAAAGCAGTTAATCCTTCTGAGGTCAAACATCACTTACAAAAACTTCCTCTCCGTAAATCTCCTGGATACGACCTCCTTACCTCTCAAATCCTTCGACAACTTCCTCCTAAAGCTGTTATATTTCTCACCTACTTATATAATGCCATCCTAAGAACCACCCACTTTCCTCTCTTGTGGAAACATTCCACTATTATCCTGTTTCCGAAACCAGGCAAACCTCCCAACACCTCAACGTCCTACAGACCAATTAGCCTACTTCCGATTCTCTCAAAAATCTTTGAAAAGATCCTCCGGAAACGAATCCTACCCTTTATTGAATCCCAAAATTTTCCTTCACATCAGTTCGGATTCCGTTCACAACACTCCACAGTCCAACAAGGACTCCGAGTGGTCGATCATATTTCCGCAGCATTGGAAAGCAAGCAATATTGCTCGGGTGCATTTCTGGACATAGCTCAAGCTTTTGACCGGGTATGGCACGCCGGGCTTCTTTCCAAGCTGAAAACCTATCTTCCTCAGTCCTTGTACCTTGTCCTCCGTTCCTACCTCTCAGATCGTACCTTCCGAGTTCGGTGCGGTAGTGAATTATCGAATTGCTATCCAATTGAGGCAGTTGTTCCTCATGGTAGCGTATTGGGTCCCGTCCTTTACATCCTCTTTACCGCTGATATCCCTGTCCATCCCGATATCTTCCTGGCAACTTTTGCTGATGACACGGCCATTCTATCATCCGACTCAGATCCTGATATAGCATCCTTAAACCTTCAAAGACATCTCTCCCTGATTGAGCACTGGTGTAATAAATGGCGAATTAAAGTAAACGAATCCAAATGCCAACACATCACCTTCACGCTCCGACGCAGTTCCTGTCCACCAGTACACTTAAATTCCATTCAGCTTCCTTTCTCGGACACAGTCCGGTACCTTGGCTTTCTCTTAGACAGACGACTAACGTGGAACCCTCATACTAGACTTAAAAGACAGGAACTAAACCGACGATACGAACAACTATACCGGCTACTAAACAGAAAATCAAAACTTTCAATTGAAAACAAGTTACTAATCTACAAGACAATACTGAAACCTATCTGGACTTACGGACTTGAACTGTGGGGAACAGCAAAATTTTCTAACATCAAACGCATCCAATCCTTCCAATCAAAAGTCCTTCGAACAATAGCCAATGCTCCTTTCTATGTAACCAACAAAACCCTACACCATGACCTTAATATCCCATTTGTCCTAGACCTTATCCCAGCAAAATTCTCCAAATTCCACCAGAACCTTACCCATCATCCAAATCCCTTTGCAAAATCTCTATCCAGCACCACCCATCCATATAATCCTCCAAGGAGGTTAAAACGGCAGTGGCCCCGCGATCTTTTATAGTTTGTAAATATTGGAGTTCTGGCAATGGCCAGATTCTTCACTCACGACATGAGTGTATGTGGCTAAAGCACTCTTGCTCAATCTCCACTGGGTTTAGCCCTAGTGACGCGGTTGAGAGAGGAGTGCAGGGAACTCCTGGAGTCATACTTTTCCCTCCACAGTTGGAGGGACAAGTCTGGTTTGGAGTTCTCTCGCCAAGTTGTAAATATTGTATATAGGTGTGCATGTGTTCTTTTTATTTATTTATTTTTAGGTTATTTTATTCTTGTTTATTGTATATATATTATTTTTCTGTATAATTTATTTTATTTACTGTACATAGAGTGTGAATGTGATCTGTGAACACTATTATTAATGTCCCTGAGACAGATTGTAATATATTTCAATAAATAAGCAATTAGAAAAAAAAAATTAGTAAAAATCAATAAACTGAAATCAAAATACCAACATATATTTTATAACGTTTCGGCCACTTGTCCATTTTTAAACATTTCTTCACAGGTATTATTTACCACCTATCTAAGTTTTTGTAAAGATATTTGTCAATATCATCTAGACTATTTGTTTGTCAGTCAGGATTTTTATTGGTAGTTATTTTTTCTTTCTCAAAACAGGAAAAAATACTTTTGTTAATATGTGCATATTCTAAAATAATTTTCGAATAAATATGAAAAACTAATAAGAATAATATTTATTTGCTAAAAATTGTATATAAGTTTTTTTCATTTTTATGTTTTACATAATTCCATTTTCTAGGCAAAATTTATTTATTTATTATTTAAAAACTATTTAATACTTTAAATGTAATATTCTTATATTTAATGTAAGAATATAACCAATACTTTTTTATATGATAAAATGGCTTCTTTTTTACGTTATTAACAATATTAATGGTATGAATGTGCTCTCTGAACTCTATTATAAGTGTTCTTAATTGAGACAGATTGTAATATTTATCAATAAAAGAGTAATCTTAATTACAATATCCAAAAATGAAAAATCTAGTCAGAAACCCTAAACAAAATGGCGCCCGCTATTAGCCTAAAAATGTGCCCTGATGTAGAAAAAGGTTGGCGGAAAAAAATAAAATAAAGGTTTGAAAAAAGTGATAGTTTTTTCTTCTTAGGGTCTTAACAAATAAATCTACTTTGGACCCTATTGCTAAGATATATAACTGGGGTCTTTTTTTTTCTCAATTGAGTGATAACTTTCTTACAAAGAAATAACTTTTTTTTAATCAGACGGGAACGATATTATTTTAAAAAAAATTTTTTTTTTTTATTAGTTGCCTCCTTCCTATTTTCTAAGAGGTCTCATAGATTTTTTAAAAAAATATAAACCTCCCCAGACCGTAAATTATGTATGTATTCCAACTACTTAATAATCCACTGAACAATTATTTTAAAAAAATATCAAATAAAGACATGGATATGTGGTAAATCATGACATTTGTAGAGAGAAAATTTTAAAACGGCTGAATATATAAAGAATTTAGAAAAAAAACCAAAACAATTACTCATTATTTCCAATACCTCCTAATTTTATTTTTATAATATTTCACGTTTTACAATATAATTTGGTAATAACAATATATTTTGGTATAGACCTATAATTTAAAAAAAAAATCATAATTTTTTCTTTTGAAGTTTCCCGATAGCTCCGTAGAAATTCGTGTGGTTTTGAATTAACTATAAAGTCACACTCATAGAAATTGCATCACCTATTTCTTTTGATTCTTATGTTGATAAAGTTGATTGCATTGAATTATTTTCTTTACTTATTTAGGTTACAAGAAAACTTAAAGGTTTTCTTGTAACCTACTTGTCTGATTGGAGGACTGGACCTTTATGTGTTTTAAAATTAAATTGTTTTCTTATTGTTGTGGGAATTATTAAATTTCTTTTTGTCTATTTCAATTTCAAACCAAACTGTTTTGTTATTATTACATTTGTTTTCGTCTATTTAATATATATGTTGTAAAATAAAAGTGTCCAGGTTATAAAAGGGTCCAGTCCGGTCTATCATACAAGTACCAACTTAAATGATCTTTCTCAGTTCAGTTTTAATTATAATTTACTTGATGTATTCATACTAATACAGTTATAAATATCATAATAAAAGTTAAAAAAAAAAGTTTTAATTAATGAAATCTGTAATAATGACCAGTTTAAAAAAACTGTCAGTTTAAAAAATATTAAAATTGTGACGTTTTATGAAGTGAAGGAATTTTCACCGGAAATATTAACGAAGATAGGGTAAGAACAATCCACAGAAGTCATAGCCTCAAAAAAACAAAAAAACAAGCACCATGGAGCGAAAGAAGGATGGAGCACAATTTGACCGATTAATGGTGTTGATTGTTTGCAAAACTGCCAAAGAAGTATCCGGAGATCTTAAGCAAACTGGTAATTAAAATAAAATTTAATAAAATGTTTACTGTGTGATGTAATTTCTGTGTACTGTATTCTAATCAAGATCAATGTCAAATAAATAAATAAATTCTTTGGAATAATTCTTTTTTTTTTTAATAATAGTATTATATTTGGTTCAAAGTAGTTTTCGAATTTTAGCTTTATTCGCATTTAAAGGTAGATTATATTGACGATAGAACGATATTTAAAGATTTATATTTGTTTCGAATACTCATATTAGCCCCCAGGGCCACACTTGGGGAGGAAGAGTTCCCATTGTAATACTACGGAACCGGTAAAAATGATAGTATTTTATAATTTCTGAGGCTAATCAAAAAATTATAAATCATATTAGAATTACTAAAGTCAATTAAAACAAGAATCCAACTTTTTTACGTGGAATCCATACCACGAACAACTATATGAAATGGTACAATTATTAACATTATTAAACTGTTTTCTGGGACTTACAAAGTATTATTCAAATATGTTGAACAATAAGCAAATGTGGATATATGTCTTTTTTCAGATTCTTGTGGGTTGTCATCCTCGTGGTCTCATTTATACTTTCTGGATATTACACCGTGGCAGTCTGGGAAGAAACTCCGATAGCAGTGGTTGAGATAGAAGGTGCTCACGACAACTCAAGGATACCTTTTCCAGCCGTCACTATATGCAGCAATGCTAAGATGTCCAGGGCTGCCAATGCAGGAAAATCGTAAATACTGCTAACAAGGGGAGGTTACAGTGGGTCACCAATTTCCACTATTTTTTTTTTTCGGTGGTACTACATAGACAAAAATTAGGCATGTCTTGTCATTCGTTCCAATGGGCACTAGAAGCTGAGAATTTAAAAACAATAAATTGCAAACAAACTTTTGGTACTTATTCAATAACGGGTAGCGTCCAACTGCTATCTGCCAATTTTTATAACCTTAACACTGATAAGCTCTTCATATTCATATTTATTGTATTATATTCATATTATTATATCTTCGTATTCATATTTATTGTATTATATTCATATTATTGAAATTGTGAACAAAAACAAAAACAAATATAATGATAAAAAAATACTTTTATTTTACAACATATATATTAAAATAGACCAAAACATTATAAATATATAATTAAAAAAACATTACGAAAACATTGCAACATGTATATCAAAATAAATGAAATAATAAAAATAGGCAAAAAATAGACAAAAATAGATGAAATAATAAAAAACCGCTTAAACAGCATCTGTACATATAAAAGAAACACTACGAAAAAACGATATAAAAAAAATATGAAAAATTTTATTTCAACTTCATTTATTTTGGTAGGAAAAATAGTTTGATGGTATTTAAAATAGCGAGTATTACAATGTTACGATAGTTGCGTTGGATAGTTTGAGCTGCTCTTTCCCCCACTGTATTGTTGTTAAAGTATTGGACCACCCATAAATGAATTTTAAAGCCGTTAAAAAAAGAAATCCTTGACCCCTCTAAACACGTTCTTTTCCTTATAGAAACGGTTTTGTTACAACTACAAAAGCATTTCCATTTAATCTTCCCATCGAACTTCATTTGATGACCTTCATCACAATATTTGATTTTTGCAAATACCCCGGCGTCTTGAAAATATTTTATAGCCTCTTCTTCTGAAGACGGCAATTCCCACAATGTGACAACATCCACAATTAAATAACATTAACTCACAGCTAACACAAGAAACAAAAAATAAACAAGGGAATAACTTTAGATTAGATAAGATTAGATGAGATAAGGGAGGTTATGGGAAATGAGATTAGATAAGAAGGGATGTTTTGACGTTACCCGCTATTGAATAAGTACCAAACTTTTTGTTATTTATTTTTGCCTTTGCGAATTTTTAGGTAATTTCATGCCAATTGATTCCTTTTTTTTTTATGTAGAACAAGAAAAAAATATTGCCTATGTAAGTAAATTATTGTTATAAAAAGACAAGTTAGTGTTCTTTTAAAACTGTTAAATACGAATTTTTATAGAAATCAAGAATTGCAAATTTTAGTATTTCATGGAGTATATTTTTTCCAGCCAAAGTTTACTTCTCAGGTTTTTTTTCCAAATTAAAAGTTCGTACAATCTTCGGAAAGCTGTATTACTGCTCTTCAAGCTCACATAAATAACTTTTATATTCAATTCATTTCAAAGCTATAAATCAAGAAAAACGGCTCAAATATTTTTATTTTATGTCTCTGGCTCTAATTTGTTTATGAAGATGTTTCCTGTAGCATATAGAGCCTTAAATCCCTTATAATTTTTGAGTGAATCTGGGGAGTTGTCTTGAAGTTATCACAATTTGTGTGCTTGTCGATAAAATTTCGAAGGGTCCTTATCAACTTTCTTTCTATTTGTATATTATAGTGGAACGACTAAGGGAAAACTCGCGACAACGGATAATTTTTTTTTTTTTAGATCTTCAAAAACTGGATAAATTGTTTTATTGATGCCTTGTGGAGTTCCCGAGAATATTTTCAGTTGGGAAAATACACATTTGTTACTGTTTTTATTGAATAGATCAATTGAAAAAAAAAAGATTTAGGCGAGTTTTTCGTTACTCGCCCCACAGTGCATTGTTTGGTTTAAATTGTTCACATACCATAACTTTATTTATTTATTTACATTTATTTACATTCCACTCTACCTTGCCTGATGGGCCATACGGGCGTTTGCAATAGTGGGCTTTTATGCATGACTGCATAACAGCATACTACTGCAAGTGAAACAGTTTAAAATATATTATCTTTGGTGACGTCTTATCAAGGGTGTCCGTCTTCCGGCGGTCTTCTTGTGGTGGTCCTCTTCTCCGTGCTCCGATGTTGAAGTGGGCTGGACCCACTGCCTCCTTCCAGTCATAAATGAATTTCTTGAACCGAGGGAAGTTCTCCTTACTTACCAACTGAGGAAGTTCATCCTCTGTTAGGACGTAAATTCCTGCGGTTCTCATCATCGTTGCCCTTATTCCTTCAAATGCAGTGCAGGCCCTGGCCACGTGCTCGACAGTCTCCAGAACTCCACAAGTGGAGCATTGGGGATCTATGTCCTGGCCAAAGCCATGTAACTTAGCTCGAAAACCCCCATGCCCCGTGAGGAACTGTGAAATCCAATAGTCCGGGAGGATCCATTGTGCATCGAACCGCGACTGTTCGGTGGGGAAGTATTTTATGAGAGTACTCCCTTTCGGGGTAGCAACCCACCGACGGCTCCATTCCTCAATCGTATCCTCCCGGATTATTTTCTTCCATTTGTTGGGACTTTCCACAATCCTCACCCGTAGATTTTCTGGAACTCCAGCTAAGCCTTCTTTCTTGAATTTATGCTTGGTCACATCTTCTCGCAGGAGGAGGTCGAGAGGTACCGCCCCCGCTAGGACCTGCACTTCGGAGAATCAAGAGGATGGCTTGCGTCTTTTCAGCAGCCATACGCATTTTCTTTCCCTCACACCATCTGGCTACAAGGTTGGCACATCGCTCTGCTGCTAGTTTGATCCCCGCCCTGCTGTTGGATGCCACCACAGCAGCTAGATCGTCAACATAGGCAGTGGCAGAGAACCGCTCATTTTCAAGCACTCCCAGCAACTCATCAAAAACCAGCTTCCATAGAGCAGGACCAAGTACTGATCCCTGAGGGCATCCCCTCTCTACGGAAGCTTCTACCTCGTAATAGCTGCCTTTGATCTTCACTCGCCTGTCCTGAAGATAGCTCCTTACGAGGGCATATAGGTTGCTGGGAGCGTCATATTTTTGCAGCTGCTGGAGTACGCAGGGCCACCATAAACTATCAAAGGCGGAGGATATATCAAAAAGGAGCAGCATAACGTATCGCTCCGCCCTTTCTTCAATATCTCGGCGAACTCTCAGCAGGTTCCTGTGCCGTAGAGCCGTATTGCCGTGGATGGCTTGCTTGATTGAGAACTGGCCGTAACCTGGTCATCATGAGGTTCTCCAGGACCTTACTCATCACAGGGAGGAGACAAATTGGTCTATATGACTTAGGAAGTTGTTTATCCCTGCCTCCTCCCTTGTAGAGGAGTCTCAAATCAGCGATCTTCCATTTCCTTGGGAAGTATTCCCTATCTAAACAATCATTAAAGATTCCTAAAAGTCGCTCTTCAATATAGGAGATACTGTTCTTTAGGATCGCTGCATCTATAGCATCAAGTCCTGGAGCGCGGCCATTCTTTTGCCTACCCACGGCAATACGAATATCATCTGCGTCCCATGGTGAGCAAAAATCAGTGCCTGGCGGGTATACCGTGGTATGTCTCACAAAATGTTCCTCTTGGGTGTCTTGAGATGGGTCGTCCTTGGGATAAGTCGCTTTAACGAAGAAATTAGCGGTCTCTTCTAAGGTAGTAGCATGGACATCTTCATGCCTCATCGCCGCTATAGTTTGCAGCGGAGTCAACTTGCCCAGAGCCACCTTATACGGAATACCCCAAGGATTCTTTGAAGATTCTTCGACGATAAAATCGTCCCAAGACTTCCGCTTTCGTGAACGAACCTCATTTCGTTATACCCTGGCCATGGACTTATACTCGTTACGAAGTGCAGTGCGCCTCTCGTCGCATCTGCACCTCTGGTACGACCGCCGTGCCTTGTTGCTATAGGAACCAGGTTCCTATAGCAACCTGGTTCTTGAACCGCGAAAATGTCATAGCGATGAGCTAGAGCTCGTAGCTCATCAGACACAAGACGCCGTCTGCCCATATTAAGTTGTAGGAGTTAGGAGTTTCACATACCATAGCTATCTGCGAAATATAATATTTGTTTCAAACCGAACTGGTATCTATAATAGATATTTTTTTAGGGAGAAATTTTTAAGTAAAATTTTTGGTATCAAAGTTTATATTCGTTTGCACTTCGAAGTACCTTAATCTTTTTCGCACAAAATGTTTGCATAGGCTGGACCCGATGATTTCGGTAAACCGAAAAAAAAAATGGTTTAAATCGACGACTCACAGACTTTAACCTCCTCTTGTAAGTTTGAATTACTCAAACATTAAAATTCAAGTTAATACCTTAAACAGCACCTAGTAATTTATGAAAACCACAATGTATTAAATCAATGTGTGATATTACTACTTGTGTTGAATAACTGCTCATTATTCAGTTTCTTCTTCTTCCAGCACTACAACTCAGTGGTGAGTCAAGGCCTCCCGCAACATCAATCGTCAGTCATTTTGGTTCATTACCTCTACCCTCCAGTTTCTTACTCCTAAGATGGGCCGTGAATCCTCCGCCATTCCATCGGCCACCAGCCAATTTTCCTCTTACCTCTTACCTTACAACCTTTCTTCTAGAAGTCTCTTTGGGGTCTCTTGTCCTTCAGTCTAGAAAAATGTCCTGCCCAACGAAGCCTTCCAATCTTAATGAAACTGACGAATACATTCTTGCTATTTCAGCGTTTGATCTTTGTCGCCAAATATTATCACTGAACACTGGCCTAAAGATTTTCCTATGGACCCGCCTCTCGAATCTTAGGAGCACTAATTTTTGAGCTCGAGAGATCGTCCATAATTCGGAGGCATAGGTGAGAACAGGCCTTATGAGGGTCATATAAATCTGCACTTCAGTGTTTCGTGAGAGGCATTTTGAAATGTTTTAGGAGCCCGAAATTGCATATGATTGCAGCCATTAATTTCCTGATGCATATTATTGTGGTAGCTCATTTGAGAGCCTAAACAAATAAAATCGTTCACACATTCAAATGTAAATCTCCGATATTTACGTGGGCCTACTGCTTATCTAACGCTTGCGGGCTTGCTCTCATATATTTAGTTTTTGCCCCATTTATTGTCAGACTCACTCTTTTTGCAGCTTCCTATTGAGCGAGAAATGTTTCGATCATAGATGCCAAACTTCTTCCCATTATATCCAAGTTATCCGCGAAGCCAAGGATCTGAGCAGAGCTGTAAAATAAGCTACTCCAATTCTGTACACCGGAACTTCTAACAGCGCATTCCTCTGCCATATTAAACAATAAACAGCCAAGGCTGTCACCCTGCCTAGGGCCTTTATTTCTAATTTATTTCTATGAGACATTTAAATGGATTCAAATGATGAATGAAGAATTTTCAAAAGGATTCCCTTTTTCAACGGTATATTTTTTATTGGGTAAATAGGCTTTTGGTGTCCCAAATAATATTACTCAAGACACGTGTAGCGTCGATTATATTTATTTTTCTTTGCAGAAGAAAAGACTTACACACTCTGAGATTCATGTGTGGAGAGCCTTTTCCGAATTCAAACGGCATCAGCGTCAATCGAATAAACCAGGTAACGGCGGACGCAATATTCATCACTCACAACTTCCGTTCGATATTGTACGTTCACATTTAATTTTATCTGTGCCTAGACTTCCCCACCATTCAAGGCTACCTGCAATCTTGGTATCACCAGAGAAGACCAACGTCTTTGGCAACGGACTTGCCTAGAACTATTTCAAAGAGTACTCACAGAACAAGGGATTTGCTATAGCTTCAATATCTACCATCCTAGAGATATTTTTAGAGATGATATGTAAGAAATTATTTCACCAGTAATATATTCACTGTAATCCATACTTTATGACTTCTAATGACCCAAAAACATAAAACAAAGTATTTTGCAGATTATTTTCAGACATGAAAGCATCAGACTTGGGATACACAGATACCGGGTTTGGGGCCTTGCCGAGCGGAAATCAATTTCCATGTGGGCCAATTAAAGAATTAGAAGACCCACTCATACTCCATGAAGATGTCAAGAAGCACCTAAAGTGTGGTAATTACATTCTAAAATTAAGTTTGTACAACAGGAATACAAACGCTGGCTACTGCACATTCAAGAATACTTCAGGATTTAAGGTAAATATCAACAAATTTGTTAACAGTAGGATAATTATGAAACAGTAAGGGTTATCTCTTTCAAATTAACTTTATTTAATATGTTAGGCACCTTAACATGGAAAATTGTTTGCAATTGAGAGATACTGAAATGATATGGTTTTGATTTAAAGTTGTATTAGTAGAATAATTAAAATATTCTTGTACATGCTCATTTTTTACTCCGTTAAAATTTGATAAGAATGAGTTTTTGTGTGATAGGTTTTACAGACTTATGAAAGTGGCTTATAATGTGAATGCTGAACTGGGGAAGTTCCATCCATTACGTACGGTAGCAATGTGTGGGTTACAAAAGTCCTCTTGGTACCATACCGTGGTCGTGAAAGGTTCAGTTGACAGGGGACCAAGTAAAACAATTAGTTGTATTGAAGCAAACGGATATTTAAAAAAAGTAATAGTGGTTCAATTTCCGTTTCAGTTAAGTCGGTTTTCATTAAGGCTGGTAATGAGTCGCAAACTCTGTAATATTTCGAAACGGCAGACTATTCATATTGAAAATTTCAAAGAAAACAAATCTATCTCAAAGTACCTGGTTAACAGTTACCGGGTTAAATTTAGTGTTCAGAAGTTATTATTTTTACATCACTGTCTATATGGCTTCAAATTTTGTCATGTAGTAAAATTAAATCTGCAAAATAATGGCGACAAGTAGCGTTAGTCACAACAAACATGGAACTATCGTCGTATTTTACAATTCGCATTTTAGTAAATTGAATTTTCATTTTTAAACTATCGAATGCTTAACCACAAGATTGACAAGGTTGCTAGAGAAACGGCTTTTACCGGTAACCATCAACTGTATGTATCAGCGAGACATACAAAGGCCCATTTAAATAAATACTGGCAACTAGAGCACTCTACCAGCATGAAAGGTTATTATAAAGCTGCCCAGCCTCAAATTCCACGATTTCCTTGGTTCCTACTCTACAAAGCTTATAGAAAATTCTTAACATCAATTTCATGCCTTCGCCTTAACCACAATAGCCTACCATCCCACCTCTTTAAAATAAATATCTTGGACTCTCCTTATTGCTCCTACGACCATTCCTAAATAGCTGATGATAACCACGTTCTCCTTTCCTGCCCAAATACATCCACAGACAGTGATTCTTTCTACCATTTCCTAATCAAAAACAATATCTCCATCCCTACAACGATTTCTACTAGCCTTACATTATCTCATATACCAAATATTACTTACGTCTTATAATAACCTTATTGCTTCTGATAGTATAAACTGTTAAGCATACTTATATATGAATAGGTATATTAGCTAATATGCTCACACATAAAGCCACATCAAAAAACTATATAGTGTAATTATGAAGACATTAGTTTCTATAATATAGTTGATTATTATTATTGGTTGATTATTATGACGTATTACCGGATATTTCGATGAGGTGTGGTAGTATTAAGAATGATTGATTTCTAGATCCTAGTACGTTCCACCAAGCCCATTTTTATTATTTGGCCCTCTGCATCCTTTCTGTTCGATCTGGCAGACGCTTTTGGGCAATTAGAAATGTTACATCTGGCGATATTTTGATTAATTTATATTAAAAGCATAGTTTACTTTTGGTACAATTAGTTAACAATAGAGATCTATTGTTAACTAAATGTACCAAAATAGGATGTGGTCGGTGGAAATTCTTCGGAAGTTCCTTCCAGATAGGTCCGAGTCCATCGGACAACAATGAGAGCAGCCTTCCAGACTTGCTGGAGGGAGGGGACCTCCAGACTTGCTGGAGGAAGGCCCTACTCACATACGTATAGTTCACAAAATACCAAACAGTCATGGATCCTCATAAAGTAAGACCCTCATTATCCGGAAGCAAACTATCCCCCGTTCGGGTCTCCGGGTGGGGACTGCGTTAGGAGATTCAAGGCGCAAGTTGAAAACTAAAGATTAATTATAGTGGCGTGGATCATAAGTAGTTTTAATACAGCAGGTGAGTTAAAATCGGTCGCAAATGAGGTTAATGGGTACATTTAGATATCGTGGCATTGTAAGAGGTTCGTTGGCCTGGGGAGGAATCCATAAGGGAAGGGAAGTTCACTTTTTGGTATGGAGAAAGCGGAAATCATTGATTGGTACCGGTTTTCTTATTAGGAATAAATTTCTATCCGCTTCGAGGGACATACAATTCTTTACCGATAGGATACGTTGGCCATATTCCAGGGGTGTTGATTTAAAATCTCGTTGATTAACATACACTGTCCGACCGAAGACAGTGATGACGAAGCCAATGCGAATTAAATGATAAACTGAAGTGGGTTTATAATAAACTACCGCGAAGCTGCACGAAAATAATTTTAGGGGCCGCTAACGCAAAAGGTGGGAAGGGAAGGTTATTTTCTGAAGAAAGTTTACACGATTATATCAACGATAATGGAATTCGGGTAATAAATTTTGCCATCTAAGGATATTCACAAATGTACTTGAACATCACCGGATTCGCAGACAGGTGGCAAAATAGTATAATAAATGTAAGTTCTTATCGCGGGGCAGAATGTGGGTCAGATCATGAATAAGTAATCACGAAACTTCGACAAAAGCTAGATATAAAAAAGAGTAAAGAAAACTGTTTCGATTCCGAGAATTTTAATCTGTAAAAATTAAAAAATCCACCAATTAGAACACAATTCCAGCTTGAAGTTAAGAATAGGTTTAAAGCTTTAGAACCTTCTGAAGAGGACTGCGATGATATAAACAAGGTATGGATAAAGATCAGAGATAATACTGAGAACGTCGGCAACTTGTGTCTTGGAAAAAAGGAAAATAAAAATACAAACCGTGGTTTGAAGAAGATTGCTTAAACATGTGTGAAAAAAGTAAAGCCGCTAAAATAAAAGATCTTAATAATCCTAGCGAAAATAATCTTGAATATTTCCGAGCCTTGAAGAATGAAATTACTAAATTGTTAAAAAAAAAAAGGGAGTATATTGAAAATAATAAGGCGTAGGGAGATGGCGGTCCCATCGCCCGGTCATTGTACCGCAACTAGCCACTGGCTCTCCAGGTTGGGGGAACACTTACACGAACACTCACACACCAAGTACACTTCATACAGCACACTACAACACCTAATCACTACAGACAAAGGTCACCTACAGTATACACCCTAGGGTCACCTTCCCTAGGTAGCCGCTCCGGATGGGGGAGCTAGTCAGGACGCTCGGAGGAGGCAGCCCCTCTACCTGACTCGGGGGCAGTGGGCTGATAACCCACCCCCAAAAAGAAGATTGATGTAGCTAAACTTAAGGACTCAGACCACCAATATTCGTATCAACAAGCTGTGGAGACGAAACTTAATGAAGAATTAATTAATGACAGCTCTATGGTCGATGAACAGTGGAAGAGATGCAGCAACGCAATGAAACAGGCAGCAGAAGAATCTCTTGGCTACGAGACTAAATCTAGAAGGCCCCCATGGTTTGATGCTGAGTGCCTTCAAGCAGTAAAAGTAAAAAATGAAGCCTACAGAAAGAAGGTTCAGCGTCCCACAAGGCGCTCCCAAGAAACATATCGAAGATAAAGATGCGAAGAGAAGAGATTACTCCGAGGAAAGAGAAGAGCTTGGGAAAATAAGAACATGGAGGACACAGAGGCATTGCGCGGCCAAAATGAAAGTCGGATGTTCTTTCAGAGAATAAACGAGGGTAGGGCAGCTTTCAGGCCCAGAGTGACGGCATGCAAAGACACGAACGGGACTCTTTTAAGCCACAAAGATGACGTACTAAGGAGATGGGTACAACACTTCAAAGACGCATTAAACAGAGGAACGGCGCCTTGAGAAGTAGGAGTAATGAAGGAAGACTCCCTGAATTCTATTGAACCCCCGGATGAGGAGGAAATGGAAAACGCCCTGAGGAAATTCAAAAATAGAAAGGCGCCAGGCCCGGACGGAATCCAGTCAGAGCTGTTGAAATGTGGAGGTGAAGAACTCAAGAAATCCCTGCATGATTTAATGCTGACCATCTGAGAGAGGGAAGCTATGCCAACGGAATGGGCAACAGCCATTATCTGCCCAATACATAAGAAAGGAGATCAAACAGAATGCGCTAACTATCGAGGAATCTCACTCCTTTCGTGTGCTTATAAGCTGCTCTCTAACATTCTTTTTGAGAGGATCCTCCCGTATTCTGAAAAGGAAATGGGGAAATATCAGGCTGGATTTCGACGAGGACGCTCAACCACTGATCAACTGTTCTCTCTGAGGATGATCCTAGAAAAGACTATGGAGCGTAAGGTAGTCACCCACCATTTATTCCTGGACTTTAAAGCAGCATACGACAGCTTTGATAGAACACAACTATACTGTGCCTTGGAGGAGCTAAGCATCCCTCAGAAGCTCGTACGCCTAATCAAGATGACCATGGACAGCTCGAGATGTAGAATACGCGTCGGTTCTGATGCCTCCGAAGAGTTTAAAGTAAGCAGTGGGATTCGGCAAGGGGATGCCCTCGCCTGTCTATTGTTCAACTTGGCAGAGGAGAAAGCTGTAAGGACTCCGGTATTCAGACCAGTGATATAATCTTCAATCGCCTGACACAGCTTCTTGGTTTTGCTGATGACATTGACATAATAGGTAGGTCTGAACGGGCTCTCAGAGAAGCGTTTATAGGCCTTGAAGCAGCTGCAAGACCACTTGGTATAGAAGTCAACGAGAGGAAAACTAAGTATATGAGAGTTGGTGGTGAGGTGGATCTGAACTCTCCATTTGAGGTAGGTTCTTTTAAGTTTGAGAGAGTGAAAAGTTTTATATACCTTGGGTCTGAAATTAATAGCAAAAATAACATGGCTTAAGAAATACAGAGAAGGATCACGGCTGCCAATAGATGTGTCTTTGGACTTGGCCGGCACTTAAGAAGTAGATATCTCTCAAAGAAGACCAAGCTGATCATATACAAGACCCTTGTACGGCCTGTTTTGACATATGGCTCAGAGGCTTGGACGATGACTAAAAACGATGAGATGAAGCTGAGTGTGTTTGAGCGAGGAGTCCTCAGAAGGATTTATGGTCCAGTAAAGGAGGGTGATGTCTGGAGGAAAAGAAAAAATAGGGAGCTCAGTTCTCTTTATACAGACATCGACGTAGTCACGTATATTAAACTGGCCAGATTAAGGTGGGCAGGGCATGTGGCCAGAATGAGCACCGTTGAGATACCCAAGAAAATAATGATGGAGGAGCTGCACCTCGCAAGACGGGTAGGAAGGCCGAGGACGAGGTGGTTGGACAACGTGGCTTATGATGCGAGAACCCTGCTTGGTGTACGGAACTGGAGAGCTGCAGCAGAAGACAGAGCCAATTGGCGGAGGCTCTTGGAGGAGGCCCAGTCTCGGTAACGGGATGTCGTGCCACATATGATGATGATATTGAAAATAAAATAATAGAATCGAAAACAACGTAAGAGACATGTACAAAGGTATAAATAAATCACGTAAATTTTTAGGACCAACAACAAACGACTGAAATTTGGGATGAAAATAGCAATATCCTCACTGATCCTGTTGACATATTGAGTGCCTTTAAGAAACACTTTGACAATATTTTAAATTCGAGAAATAATGATCTGTGTCCTCCTTCTGAGCACCAAGAGTGCGAAACCGTTAATAGAAGAACCAAGTAAAAAGGAATTTGAAATAGCAATCGGAAAATTAAAATCTTATAAAGCAGTGGGGACTGATGATGCTCTTAGCGAATTGATCAAGGCATGCAGGGAAGCTGGAGTTTATAAAGTAAATCTTTTGGTTTAAAAGACATGAGATTTGAGTTCTACCAATGGGTAGTTTCTCTTCATGTTGTACATGTCATGTTACCAATTTCACATTTACTTATTGTATTTTCTATGTAATACAGTTGTAAATTCCATTAAAATAACAAAAAAAAAGACATGAGAGAATGAGAAATGGCCTGAAGAACTGAAAGAATCCATTCTTATTCCGATTCCCAAAAAGGGCGGATTGTAATAATTATCGAGGAATTTCACTCCTTCCGGTATGTTATAAAATATTCACATTAATCATAACTAATCGAATCACGGAATACGCCGAGAAAGTTATCGGAGGCTACATATGTGGGTTCAGGAGGAACCGTTCGACGATTGATCAAATATTTTCTTTACGACAGTACAACATAATATCAAATAATATTAGAGTACAAAGGCGTTGTTCATCAGCTGCATGTAGGTTTCAAAAAGGCTTACGGTTCTATTGACCGCCAGAAGCTTTATAATATTTTACTCGAGCAGGAGATCCCCAAAAAAATTAGTGAATATAATAAGGATGTGCTTGACGGAAACACTCAATAATGTTAAATTCGGTTATTATTTTTTCGGAGAAATTTGAGGTTCGTTCGGGCTTAATACAAAGTGATTCTCTTTCACCTGTCCTATTTAATTTGGCATTAGAACATACCATTAGGGAGCTAATGTGTACCGAAAAACTGTTGAATCTGGGTGGGACAACACCCGTGCTTGGCTATGTGGATAGAACTAATATACGACAACGTTAATGAAAGCCGGTAAAGAACTAGGGCTCTCGAGATAAAGGAAACAATGAGTACAGAAATCACTTCAATCACAAATTTCAAATTTTTCAGGCGAGAGAAAAAACGTCATAACTCCTCTCATTTTTAAAATATTTGAACTTTTTTTTTCCTCTGTCATAACATGCATTTATGTTTCTGTCATGTAAAAATTTTTTAATTTCAACATAAATTAGGCTCAGGAAAACTTTTACTTTTTGATTCGGACTTTGCTGTTTCTGCACTCAACTGTTTTTTAAAGACAGCTGAAAACTGGGAAAAAAGGTAGCCATTCATTAAAAATTTATATTTTTTCAATAACAATTTATATTAATTTTAATTTATTTTACAATTTAATTTGATTATAAGTGTAAATACCAAGGCTCGGGATTTTATATTACTTACAAAGATAACGAGTGATAATTAACATAACATAATACATTGTAACATAATTAACATAAAGTATTGTAAAGCAATGAATACAATATTATTTGCAAAAATAAAATTATAGATATAGTAACTATATTTTTTTACTAAATATATTTTTTTTAATAAATACGTTTAAGAATAATTTAATAATTAAGATTAAGAAGGTTGTGTGGAAATTTCTATTCACTTTTGTAAATTTAAGTGTATTAATTTTGATAAACGTCAATACTGCCGTAATCACTTTTACTGGTGTAAATACAGATAATACAATGTAAATACGTATTCACTTTTACAATAGTAAATATTTTATGTTATTTCTGCGCTCAACGATCGAAAAAGAAGTCATGTATGTACGGAAGCAACAGATTAACGTGGCTCTTGCACTTAACACGCATCTTGTCTTTTTAAGCTTGTTTCAACGAAAACGATTTTATCATTTTTTTTTTTTACTGAAGTAGTTTCTACACTCAACGATTCAAATACGGATAAGACAAAATATGGTTTTCTACAAAAACAGTGACAATTTCGATGATATCGATACAGGGAAAGTGTTTGGAACACGTACAGAATTTTAGGTATCTAAGGTTTATGATAACTAAAATAAAACCAAACTGAAGAGGATATTAAGGTTAGGTTGAAAACGGGGAAGGCTTGTTATTTTTCTTTGTCAAAACTACTTAGTTCTCGCCTTTGGTCTTAACTTAAAAATTAAAATTTAAAAAACATTACCTTTCCCACGGCTCTTTATGGATTCGAAACGTGGCCGCTGATGAGGATGAGCAACGTCTTAAGGTTTTTGAAAATAAAGTATTGATCAGAATATTCGGACCGAAAAAGGACGAGTCAACCAGAGAATTTAGGCAGTTACACATTGCTGAATTGCGTTAACTGTATCCGGTTAATATAATTGAGATGATTAAGTAGAAGCGAATAAAATGGCATGTAAAAACGACTGGTAGTGTTGCCCAAAATCTGTCTTGGTCTTGCATTTTGCAAGACCAAGACCAATACCGCATAACTGTTGCAAGACCAAGACCAAGACTGATAAAAAAATCAACTTTTTGCATAAAAATTAAGGCAAAATAGTTACTAATACTTGACAATTTTAGTTACCATATGTAAAGAATTGGTATAACCGATATACTTTTGCATTAACTCTTCTAATTTTCCATTCGGGCGTTGTTATGTTTCTCCTATCTAAATAATTACAGAAATATATCTATTGTAACTAAGTGTATGTATATATATAATTGCAAGACTGTTGAGAGTCTCTTGCGCAAGACCAAGACCTGGACCACGACTCGTCTCGGTCTCGCATTTGGGCAACACTACCGACTAGCAAGCGTCCGAAGGATAGACCAAAGCGAAGGTTGAAAGATTTTGTTAAGGCTGATATGGTGGGGTTGGCTTTATACGGAGCCGGTTGATGGAAGAATGTGGACATCAATTGTTGGTATCGGCATCGAACCTTCTGGTTCGCTTAGCCTTATTATTATTATTATAAGGATACATTTAAATTAAAATTTCTTGCTTCCTAGGTCATCATCCATAACCCTCTAGACGTGCCGACATTTGGAGTTAGGCGTCTCATTTGGGCTAAGGTTATACAACACTAATTTTACTATTATCTCTTATTTTACTATTATTTAATCACAATTGTTTTCTTCCACAGGAAGAACCTAGCTTGTATCCTACAATAGATTTAAAGACAGAGTTAAAGGTATTTATTATGTCAACTTTTATAAACTTTGTGTATAAATACTATAATGTTATATGAATGTAATATATATGCAACTTTGGATTTATCTAAGAATCGATAGATATGGATCACATGTAATATTTACATAGAAAGAATATACCATAAGATGGAGTAACTTTGGGACTGAGTGGGTAACTTTGGGACTGCGGGTAAAATTTAGTTTGTGCTGATTTCGTTTTGGATACATTGTGTTGGTTCAGTCAGCATGGTCAACGCACGTACTGCGCCACTACTTTGCGACGCACTAATCTCGAGTCACTCTTGAAAGCGAAAGTTTCATGAAAATAAGAATTTTGAAAAAAGCAATGGAAATAAATAAAACCTAACTACACAACGAGTGTAGTCAACTAGGATTCTCAAATTACCGCAAGGTAGTTGCGTAGTACATGCCTAAACAAAGCCCGTTTTTGCCAACTGAACCAACACACTGTATCCACCACGGAATCACCACAAACTAAATTTTACCCCCTGTTACCAAGTTACAACCCAGTCACATAGGTCCAAAGTTACCCCATCTTACGATATATTAAGATCATCTAACCCAATAATATTCAACATTATAAACATAGTAATTATGTTTATTGTTATATGAGTCAATTAAAACTTTCGATCACATTTATTTCACTCGGTAACAATAGGGTCAAGTCACAACTGATAGCAGTTTAGCAGATATGTAATTTTTCTCTAATTTTAAAAACATACTTCGAATTCATTATTTAATAAAAAAAATATTTATATAATCCAGAAAAAAAATTGAATTTCTGTCTCACTCCCTAGGGCTGTCATAATCAAGATATACTGGCATAGTAAACTGTATAACATGAACTGTTTAATGAGGGGGCTTTAAAACTAGGGCTATCGTGAAAGGATATGAGAGCTAATTTCGATATTCATATGGACAAAACATATTGATATATACTCACTTCCTAGAAAATTTTAAAAAGTTTAGCAGAGCCGATTGTAAAGGATAATTTTGCTGTGCTTTGAGCCCATGGGCAACGCCGTTTCACAATCTCCTCTCCTAATTTTTTTTAGATCTTGAACTATTTTCTCTTTACTATAGAAAATAGTTATTTATTAAAAGCCTTGGAGTGTTTTTTACAAACTCGGTTTCTGGTACATTAGTATTCTTATAAAGGTTAATAAATCTTTTTCAAATGAATGAAGTTTGGATAGTAATTTATTTGGGAATATTTTCAATTAATTCAGTTACAAAAGCTGCGTAGCCTAAATCCTCTCTTCCCAGCTTCTGACTCCCTAGATGTTCCTTAAAGTCTAGGAAATGAGGTTACAAACAGGCATTGCAAAGCAACGCCGTTCAATTCAATATTCCAAATTAAGTCAAATGTAACATAACTGAACAATACAATCATTTACATACTACACTTTTAGAGGATAGATAATGATTTTTTTTTTTTCAAAATGAAGTATCTAGGCTTATGTTGGTGATCATGTATGTTGAATTAGTATCTTCCTAAAAAAAATATAAAGATTGATTTGAAATGACCCATGTATGCTCCTAAATAACAACAATTTAAACGCTTTCAAACAGTTTTATTTTGAAATTTCATAATTCAAATAAGGTAAGTATATTGATAATATTAATAAGATATAATATTATGTCCTTTTGCAAGGTTTTGGTGAAAGTAGATGCTTCGATATCATCCTTTTCCGATGATCTCCTTTGGTTTCCGCCGAAGAAAAGGAAATGTTACCATGGAAGCGAGAGATATTTAAGATACTTTAAGATTTACTCCGATTTCAATTGCCGGCTCGAGTGCTTAACAAACAAGACGCTGGAGCTATGCAACTGCGTCGATTTCTACATGCCAAGTAAGTCTGATCAATTAAAGCGAGAAAACAGATCGCCATATATAAAATCTGAATCACAATTTTATTAATCTAAATTGAAAAAAAAATAAGTTAGTTGAGCAAATATATAATTTTTTTAAATTATAATTAATTAATTAATTAATTTTTTAATTATAATTATCGATATGAAAAGAAAATAATTAAATATTAAAATAAAAAATATGCCTAACGTGCCCTATGTTTCACTTCTAACATAAAACAGGTATACTGAAATGATTTCATGTGTTTATGCTCCCTTTATTGCTGTTGAAATGTTCCTTTCCCTGTGGGATACAGCTGAAATAAAGCTATGGGTCTCTTTCGCAGACATTATAGCCCCTTATTGTGGAGCAAGATTTGAACCGGGCTCATTATAAAATAAAATATATACCAAAACAAGAGGTGAAGATCTTATGCATGTCATATTGAATTCTATGACTAGTACTAGATCAATTTATCCCGTGCAGCCATAGCCAGTTGCGTATAATCTGTAGGTCCATCGTGGCCTGCCTCTTCCTCAGGTATAACATGGTCTTCCGTCCGGTAACCTTTTTTGGGATATCATCTTCTTAAGTAATAGTTCTTTAATTCTATAAATCGTAAATGATCCAGGTCGGGAATTGCAAAACGAGGTGTTGAAGCTACAGCCATCACTCTACAATCATGGCTGCTCTACGTCATGTAAATCCATAAGTATTATATTTAATTATTTTTTATAGTTTCTTTAATGTAACAGCCTCAGTAAATATAAAGCACGTTTTGGAAGAGTGCCCGTTTTACACCACAAGGCTAAAAGATACCCCAAAATATAGCAGCATCCCTGGGAAGACATCATACATGTACACAATGAAAGTCCTATAAAACATATATGACAAGTTTATAAGTAATGATTGTTTTTCAAGTTAATTATTTTTTTTTAATTTTAAAGTTCATCTATTTATTAATTTCAATCCATTTATTGATTTTTTACTATTATTATTTTTTTAAGTCTATTTATTTATCTATTTTGCCTTATTATTATTATTATCTTTAAGTGTATTTATTTTATTTTATTAATCTTTTTTTGGTTCTTGTCTGTTAGACGATTGGACGAAACCTCCCTTTATGTGTTGTAAAATTAAAGTGTTTTCTTATTGTTGTGTGAGTTATTACATTTCTTTTTGTCTATTTCAATTTCAAACCAAGCTGTTTTATAATTATTACATTTGTTTTCGTCTATTTAATGTATATGTTGTAAAATAAAAGTGTTCAGGTCATAAACATTGGCAGACAGCTGTCGGTCCAGTCCGGCTACCAGGCAACTACCCTTTTTTTATTTTTATTTATTAGATGTTCGGGCTAACAAGTTATTAGACATCAAAACAAACAACAAACAGTTATAGTTGATTTAATAATTCTGTAAATAATTCATATCTTTTTAAATATATATTTGATAGGTTATATTAATTTGTTGATATTTTTTCATTACCTTTGATCAGTATGAAATTATTTTATTTTTAATTTGAAAATAAATGTTTTATGAACAGGATTGTATTTTTTTAAATTTAACACCATACATTTCTTTCTTTGGGACCTTCATCTTAGGACCCATTATATACTTTGCGAGTAAGTAAAAAGTGTTGAAGTACTCATACACATTTTGTGTTTTAAACGTTTTGCTTGGTTATTTATTAACTATTGACAGTAATAATAATATAAAATTTACAAACATATTTTCTGACGAATATATTATTTATCCGTCTTGTGCACATTACTTAATACTTGAATGACTATATTTATTATGTTATAATTAATATTGTTTAGCTCTCGCAAAGTATATAATGGGTCCTAAGATGAAGGTCCCAAAGAAAAAATGTATATATATATATATATATATATATAATATATATATATATATATATATATATATATATATATATATATATATATATGTATATATGCATTTTGTTTAAGGAGTGAATGGAACAAAACAATGTAGAAGAGTGGATCTCCCGTGCGTTTTTGATACGATTGGTAAGTTCTGCTTTGATTTAATAAAATAAATTAATTAATGCACACATCAATATGTTAAAAAACAAGTTCTTAAACTAGGTCCGCAGAACACTCTTTATGTTAACTTAACCCATAAATTTCCAGTTTCATTCATATTACTCATTTAATAAACATCTTACATGGTCAAGACAATTAGCATTTTTTATTAAGTAGTTTTTAATGTAACTAATTATTTTTTGAATGATAATACAATCTACCACTTGGAGAGCAGTGTTGAGCAATTACTCGAGTAAATGCCAAGCGGTGACGTCACGAGTCATCACTCTCAGAAGCTTACCCATGAGTAAATTTGAGAATTACTCATGAAACATTTTTCCTCCATGAGTAAATCACTCATGAATAATGTTATCTCCATGAGTAAATCACTCATGAAACATTTTAACGCCATGAGTAATTTTAAAAAAAATATATTTTTATTTTATATAATCTAATTTTTTTTTGTCACCTTTCAGGTTTAATCGATATCAGGGTCAACTTATAAGTTTTGGGGGCACTTTTTATGAAAATACTCTCGAATTTGAAATTGCGCCCCCCGGGCCTCGACATTTTGTAACTTTTCGGATTAAAAAGATATGAGGGTCGACTATTATGTTTCAAGGGGCGTTTTTTATGAAAATGCTGTAGAATTTGAGATTGGGCCCTCCGGGCCTTGACCTTTAAAATTAATTAAAATTTCCTATTTATTTATGATATAGTCTAACTTCTGCACAAAATATAGGAAATAACAATTAATTTTTTAATTAGTGATATATAAGTTTTACTAAACAATCCGGTAGCTATTTATTATACATCGTTCAGATTAGGTATATATTATTTTAGTTTATAAAACAGGTATTAATATGACTCATTTCCATGGAAGTATATAAAAATTTTAATTACCTCTAAGAATCAGTAAATATACAAAAAAGTGTTAAATTGCAAACGTTAAATAAAAAAAATCAAGATATTTAGCAAAGTATTTTTTAATTAAGTTTTATTATTATAATTATATCATTTTTACAATTGAGGTCTTCTTAAACGACCTACGTATGGAATAAAGGAGGTTAAATTTAAAAAAATAATAATACATTTTTTTTTTAATTTTAATTTTTTTTTACAATTAAATTATTGCATTAATATTTGTTCGTTAATAAAACCAATATAATGTACCAAAAATGTTATTATATCACTATAACTAAGTAGGCACCCAGGTCAGTGCCGCTTTTCTGCCGCATAAGTGCATTTTCTAAGGAACTGTTTAACATTTTTTAAAAAATAATCAGCGTTCTAGAAAAAGAAATATATTTTCCAGATGTTTTATTTCAGCACGTTTTGCGTTATTGTAGGTCGTTTAATTACAAACGACGCTTGATTTGTAACTTGACAATTTTTTTGTTAAAACAATTGACTTTACTGGTGTTTTTCATAGCCTAAGCCAATTATTTTTTAATATTTCTTCATGTTTTCTTATTCTATGACTAGTCAGCTTTAATAAAAGACCAACTATGAGAAAATTAAGCTAAATGCTGATTCTCAGTGACCAAAAAACTAACTAAAGTCAAAGTCGTCAATCCGCCATCTTTGGACACCATTTTGGGGCAGTGTGTTCACTTTTTTTTGTGGGAACATTGGCTTTTTTTCAATAAATAGTTACAAGGAACACAACGATATGCAATTTATAGGGATGTGGGGGGAGGGGGGGTGCACGGTAAGGGGGTCTGGCCCACAGACTATTAGTCCCGGCTTCTCCATTGTACAATTCCCATCTTCTGCAAATCGTCCTCCAAATCATCAATCCATCTCAGCCTGGGCCTTCCTCTTCTTCTTTTTCCTCCTGTTTTACTATATAATAGTCTCTTCGGGTATTTATCTTCACCCATCCTTTCTATTTATTTCATAATAAGGTTTATGAAATAAAGTATTTTTTCTTCCATGATACGTAGAGTGTTTCGAAGAAGCGGATCTAAAAAATTACCGTATATCAGCATATCAAGTGGACCCTTTTATTATTAAGAGTTATGGATTAATATTGACGCTACTAGTACTGGTTTTGGGGAGGTCCTTCAGGGGAGGTTCACGATTAACTAATTCAGGTGAAGAAATCAAACACACATCGTTTTGAACCGGGAATTCTGAAACCATCGCTCTCATGTGCACGGCCTGTATTAATATTGATAGTCCGATGTAATTATTGGCCAATTCCAATGTACATGTAATTACCATGCGTTTATTTAAATTTTTTAAAAATTGTTTTGTCCACTACTTTTTAGTCCATTTTTTTTTATTTATTTGTTTTCGGGGAATGTCCCATACAAATAGAGTTGGCTATAATAGTTACAATGAACAAATTAATATGAAAAACATTTACAACTAATATACAAAGTAAAATTCATTAGGATTCAGTGACTACATCCTCTCCTGATAACAACTAAGCATCTGACTATATGCCTAAATATAAACAATTAAATATAATATAATAACCCACATAATACAATAATTCAATGACAAATAGTAATAAATAGCACTAGTAATAAAGATAAATACAGGCATAGTATAAAATATATAATATATAAACATGTCAATAGTAAATAGCAAATAATACAATAAAACACGATATGCATATAAATATGTTTCATGCATAAATAATAAATACCACAATCAGAACAAAGAAAATAAACTTCAAAGTTTTGGAAAAATGTATGTAATGTTGTTATTCATTGAAAATAAAGGACCTCCATCGGCAACATTGCCTCATGTAATAAAACAGGTTCTTGAGGAAGACTTCATTGTTAATTCACATGTTAATGGAATGAGGCAGCAAGTGTTGGCTTTTTAGTCCATGCTGAAATATAAGAATCGTTCTTAAAACGTGAACAAAAAAGTGCATTGCGTGTACAGTCCGTTGAGTCTACCTATATTAAAACATACGTTTAATTGAAGTGTTCTATAACCGCTGCTTTCGATAAACCTTTTATTATTCGATCCTCTTCCGTATGGAACTCCATCCCTCCCCACATCCGTCAATCCAAAACCCTTCCTACCTTTAAATCCCAACTGCTTTATCATTTCTTATCCATCCAGTCATCATAAAATTGTAAATACTTACTACTGTAAATATGTATATAAATTATTAGATCGTTCTTTACTATTTATACTTCATGTTTATTTTCAATTTTTTATTTTTTATTATTAACTGATGTAAATTAGAAAGTAACTTATAATTTCTCTTATTATTTTTTTTCATTTATCTAATTTTTTTTTTTTACTATTTAATCAAACTATATTCTTCTTTATGTATCTCTGAGGCTCCTTAGCCCACATTTTTGTCTCTCTGTATTATTCTAAAGGGACTCGTCCCAGAATAAATAAAGCATTATTATTATTATAAATATCTGATATCTATAAAAGTTACAAATTTTATTAAAAAAGAAAACATTCTCTTGGACTCTTATAGGATAACACAGTTTCATTACTGTTAACTTTACCTACCTACCTACCTACCTACCTATATATATATATATACATATATATATATATATATATATATATATATATATATATATATATATATATATATATATAATATATATATATATATATATATATATATATATATAAGCCAGATCGTAAATATTGGTCGTGTTATTGGTATAAATACCTTTGAATCATTTCATATAGATCACCCATAAGACTCAAAGATTTTTTTTTTTAAATGAATACATTTCAAAGTGAAAAGGGTACCCCATTATTCAATTTATATAATAATTTATGTTTTAATAAAGCAACTTAAAAATTTAAAGAATTTTTATTTTAATCTGACTTCAGATCTATTCAAGAAAAAAGACCATTGTAAATGTTACCCGGCTTGTTTTAACGTAAGGTACACAAGCCAAACCAGAGTCGTCTACGATCCTGGTCAAACGTGAGTTTTTTCTCGAAAATACTATCGTAAAAATATATATAATGTGTATATATATATATATATATATATATATATAATATACATTGTAATTATTTCAGAGAGCAGCGATGGGACGATGCCAGTTTGACAGTTCAGGTTGAACGAAATGTTACAGAGATTCAGAGAAGCCCAACATTCACTGACCTTCTTGTCATATGTGAGTATTACCGCATTAAGTATTACCAACACCTTTAGGACAGATTAACACTTTCGAACTTATTGTCCATTTAAGATGAAAATTGGGATACTTTTTTCTTAATAGCCAAAATAATCGGTGTTACTAACCACCTTTCTCAAACTTAAGGTTGGTGGAAGTAGTCTCAAATAGATTTGCAGTATTCTTAAATTAGTTTAAAATAATTTACCAAGTATAATACTGAACGATTGAGCCAATTAGTATTGCTGATAACTCCTTCCCCGTCCTAAAGTCATACTTCAAAGGAGAAATGTGGGACTGATTTAAAATATTAGTAGTTGGTAACTAAAAAAGGATTATAACACTTTTCATCAAATAGGAATGGTTACCCTCCACCATCTCCCAAATTAAAGCATTCGTGATCGGCTTCCATATCCTCCTGCCAGCATAAACTTGGTCTTCCCCTCCATTTGTTTCCTTTTGGATGTCCTAACATAATCATCTTAAGGATTCTGCGCTCCTTTATCCTCTGCATATCACCTTACGATGGTCTAATCATTTTCTTTCTTAATATCTAGCGAGTTATATAATTCTATCAACTCTTGATTTATTCATATTACCCTTTTCCAGTCTTGAGATTTAAACGCCACAACCTACCGAAACATAGGTTTCGATTGTTCTTTCCTATCTTGATTCTTGTCCGTATGGAATTCTGTTCCGTCATTCACCCGTTCTCCCAATACCTCCTGCACCTTAAAATTCTGCCTATTAAATCACTTCCTTGACCCAATTCCAAAATAATTGTAAATAGAACTTCCTTATGTTTAATTAAAATATACTGCTCAAAAATTAATAGGGATGTTTTTATTTGATATTACATTGTTCAGTTTAATTCAAATGTACTTTTTTTAATTTTATTTATTCCCTAATTTGTGAACAAAAGATGTCAAAACAAGTAATCTTTTTTTAAATAAACTATCATCTGAAGGATAGTCAACATGAGGAATACTCATTTTGTAAACCAACAGTTGTTTTCGACTTTTATTGAATCAGAAGTTCGCAATATTATCGTAAGAATGAACTGTCAGGGGCACAGGCAAGTGAAAATCACAAATACAGTAGGAGTCTCCTAGATTGTGGTCTCCCGAGCTTTAACCAGGTTCAGAAAAATACAGAACTGCCAACAAGAGACCTATTAGTGGATATCATTAAGGCACCAAGGAATGACAGACTTATTTGTATTACTGCAAGAATCAACCCTTTTTATAGTGCAGAGCCTAAATGAAGTGTTGAATGTTCAATCAAGACCCATACCAACACAAACCATTCGTTATCTTTTGTGGAAAGTTGGTCTAAACTCTTATGCCCCTTTAAGACTACCTACAGCAACAGTACGTCGCCAGCACTGCAGATCATGGTGCAACGAGTGTCTGGATGAAGGCGGTCGTGATGGTAAAGCGTGTTAGAGCGTTGATCGTTCTGGCGACGCCGGTTCGAATCCTGCCTGTGTGGGGTTGGCTTTTATTTCGTGGCGGACCCATAGAATGAAACTCGTCCCTCCCACTCTGGTTAGAATAGGTTTGGCGGAACCTCTAGAACAATCCCCCTCACCTACCCCCTTATGCCAAAAATGGTGGGTAGACGGTAATAAAAAAAAAATAATCGCTTAATGAGGATTCAAATTGGAACGCTATTATGTTTACATACATGTCGTGTTTCAGAGAACAATAGATGGGTACACTGCCTTAGTTTGTGCTTTGTTCAATGCTGTTCAATCTACTCAGGAGGACGAACTCTACTCCATATTGTGGAAGATAATCTCATTGCAGTCCATTATGTTCGTGAAATTATAGAAAAGTGCATTCCTCAAACCACGGCCTATAGTTGGCACAGATTTCCATTTTCATGACGACAAACGCGACCTCATTGGGAAAAAGCTGTTCTACAATGTTTTGAAAATCTGTACTTTTCACATCTGCCTCTTCCTGTATTGTCTCCAGATCTCAATATGAGCACATGTGGTATGCACTGCAGAGAAGGTTTTTGGACCACCATTTGCAACTTCTTAAGTTTCAGCAACTGAGAGCGGTATCAAAACACCTTTTATAAAATTTCTGGAGGTCAAATACAACCTTATTTATATTAATTTATGTTAATGTATTTTATGATAAAATAAAATAAGCATTCAAGGAAAAGTAAATTGTATGTAACTAACAATATTAATACATTTAAGTATTTATTAATACATTATTTCCTCTTTTTAAATTTGTAATACTCTTTTTCAGTATTTTGTTTGCTTTAGTTTAATGACGTAATAGTTCCGACATTATCGTATTTTTTTTACTATTGTTTGTTTGTTTTATTAACTGTTTTTAATTCTTTTGTTACTTTAAAGTTTTAAAGTCCACTAGTTATTGGCTGTAAAGTTATTTTTAAAATACGTGTTACAGAATAAATAAAAGATCTATTATTATATCGTTGTTTATCTTTACTAGTCTGTTATTTAATGGTGAATACCAACCATTCCGTTTTACAAATATTAGAGGAAAACATTGCCATTCATGTTTGGTCTTCCGACGAACTAGTGGGAAAAAATTATGTGCGAAAGCAGTAGCCTAGGAACTTCGTGCGATGTAAAGTGAAAATGTGTTGGACCTTAACAGGGCAACATTTCAGTTCAGCCAGTTCAATTCCGAGAACAAAAGCTTTCAAGATAAGGTTCGATAAGGTAGCTTTTGAGAAGTGAATGATGAATACTCGATCTGGGAGGAGGGACAGCTGATTGGCAATTATATTCTATGTTTCGAAGAATAATTTTAATTAGCAAATTGTATATCGACATTTAAATAAAACTTTTTTTTTTAAAGTATTTTTTCTTAGACTTAGATACCGTCCGAGTATTTTCATCTAAGTCAGCACCAAAATTCATAATTAGATCTAAATCCCAACCTTGGCAGGGATGGAACTAATTCGACATAAAGTATTTGACCATTTGACCAATAACAAAAATGTTAAACAAAGTTCCTGAAAAATGGAAGAATCTGATATAAAAAACTATGACTTGTCGATATTAAGTTATATATGGACAAGCATACTGCTATTTCTTTTTCTATTCTCACTATTTATTAATTGCATTATTTATCAATAATAAGTTAGAGATGGAATAGTTGCTCGCGCGAATAATTTGTAAAGAATATCGGTCAGTGAACAAATGATAAAATAATAAGAAAAGTAAATAATTCAACGCATCATAATATGAAGGAATCATTTACTATTTTTTTCGGTGATTGTGATCGATCAAGTAAAAGAAAATTGTAATAAAAATTCTTTCATGTTTTAAACCAAAATGTAAAAGAATTACAATAACCTGTATTTCAGCTAACAATGATCGGAATTCAATGATTTTTTAAAGGGAATTTAGTAATCTTTCAAATAATTACTTTTTTACATAATAATTTTTTTTTAAATAAACTCTGTTGAATATTTAATTGGTTGACTGTTGCATTTTAAAGCAAGGAGTTTCACATAAAATTCATAGCTGAACACACCTCCCTGAAGAAGACCTGGAATGTCGGGTCGAAACGTAGGCTTTTAATAAAATAGTTTTGCCACTGTTTAGCCTGCTTATGTCCGCCACCCCGGACCATCTCCTTCCTTTAAACAAACTCTCTTTTACTTCATGACCTTTTTCCTGAAATGTCAGGAGAATGTGAATATTTTTCCCACTTGAACGAGAAGATCATCAAAATGAGGGCTCAATCATTGGATTTGATGAAGAATTGACGAATTAACGGCGTTGCGACTACTATCATACAAAGATAGTAGTAGTAACGGCAAAACATTTCAATTAATTATATTATTTTATTTTTAAATTATTGATTTTATTTTAATTGAGTACTTGATGGTTGGCCGTTGTCAGAGGTGCTCAGGAGGGGGTTTTATGGCGCAAGTTGCTCCATCAAAAATTTTGAGAGGGCACATTTTAAAGGGTTTTTGAATTTTTGAGGGGGTCACATTTCAAAGGAGTTGTGAATTTTCGAAATGAAAAGTTTTCGAACAAGGGAAAAGGAGAAAACATGAAACAAACCGTACCAAGTGTAATCGTGTATGATGTATGATTTTTCTAATTCATCTTTCCCTTTGTCAGTTTTTAAGAAAATGAGCAATAAAATATCTTAGGAGGGAGGGAGGATTAGGTTCTTGCGCCATTGATCGAGGGGGGGGGCTGTGCATCTCTGACCACAATAACTGCCGAATTTCCATTATCAATCCTAGTAATAATGAGGTGGTCGTTAGTTTTAAGACTTGAAATAAAATAATTTGTTGACATTTCAGTATTTTTATGACCATCACCCAGATCCATCTACTTCCTGAAAAATTTTATTTTAAGATGTTTTATATCCTCAAGGTAGAATCCTTGGTCCTATCCTTTACACAGTTTATACAGCATACATCCGAACCCATCCTGACACTGTCATCACCACGTATGCTGATGGCACATGTATCCTATCTGTTAATAATGATCCATCAACTGCATCCCAAACTCTCCAGTCACAAACCTTGAAGAATGGTGTAAAAACTGGAGAATTAAAATAAATTCCAATAAATACCATCAAATTACCTTTACCCTGCGTCGCAAACCTATGAACTCCTCTCCTTCAGTATCCTTTAACAATTCCCCACTTATCCCAGTTGAACAAATCCGTTACCTAGGACTATACCTGGACAAACGGCTCACATGGAATCCTCATACAAGACTGAAACGACAAGAAACCGCTCGACATTTCCGACTACTCCAACACTTACTAGACAAACGCTCTAAGCTTTCAATCAATTACAAACGACTCATATATATGAAAATAATAAGACCTATTTGGTGGACTTACGGAATTGAGGTTTGGAGCTCCACTAAACCATCTAATTCCTCTCGTATCCAATCATTGCAATCCAAAATCCTTCGTAAAATCCCCAACACTCCTTACTTTGTCCCAAATAAAATCATCCGTGAAGACCTTAATGTTTCATATGTTTCCTATTTGGCCCTATCCAGATGCCTATGATTCCATAACAAACTGCAGAACCATCCGAACCCTCTCGTTTCAAACCTTGCTTCCTCCTCGATCCCTGATAACCCCCCGAGGCGTCTGAAAAGAAGATGGCCACGTGATCTCCTAATATAGACATATTATTAGAGTGCTACCAATGGGTAGTTTCTCAACATGTGTTTCATGTCATTATATCCATGTGCGAATTTACCAGATGTATTTTTTGTATACAGTTGTAAATATCATATAAATAGATTAAAATGTATATATATATTCTCTTTAGTACACGTTACCCAAAATCATCTTTTTTTTTATTCGGGGTTAGTTATGTTTCTCCTATCTAAAAATTTACAGTAATATCTCTATCGTAATAAGCTTATAGGTAACTTTTTTTTAAAAATAATTTTATTGAGCTATAATACATTTTACCACACGTAAGGGTTCTGAGTATTAAAACTGTAATTTACATTCATACCATATTTACAATATAATAAAATAAAATAAATGAAATACATAAAAATAGATATTTAAAAGATAATAATGTATATATAACAAAAATAAGAACAAAGAAATATAGCTTATAGTGAAATAATACAGAAAATTCATAAGGAAAAAATTAAATTAAATTATTAAATTAATATTAATGACAATAAATTAAAAAAAAAAAACCTAACAGTAATACTTATAGGTAGCACAAGACCAAGACCAAGACTGAGTTCATTTTCCTATCCAAATAATATCCTACATCAATTTTATGAGTATTTCTGGTCTTTTTTTATTTGTATGTTTAAATCAAAATTTTTATTCATGAAATGTATTTTTGATCTTTTAAACCTTAATTTATAATTTCTTAGTTGTGATATTTAAATAAAGATCCCGCTTATAATAAACAACCAAAGTAAAGTTGTTTATTATATAGTTGTTTATATATATATATATATATATATATATATATATATATATATATATATATATATATATATATATATATATATATATATATATATACTTTGTTTTCATTCTTTTCCTTATGAGGTAATTCCACATAAATATCGTTTGATTATCCGTAATACTTTATGGTTTAAAGGCATACTAGATGAAATTACAATTGTTTACGTGATTTTCGCTTTTAGTTTTACATGACATGAATTTTTAGTACAAAATTATATATATATATCAATAAAGAAAAAAATCAAAAATATTTATATAATTTATTTATGTTATATATATTTATTCATATATATTTTTTAATTAATTTATGACATATATATATATATATATATATATATATATATATATATATATATATATGCATATACAAGGCTTTATATTTTTAAAATTCATGTTATATTTTTGATTGATTGGTTGTATTTAAGTATCAATTCGTACTACAATTAAAAATTATAATTTTTCAGCTAAATGTGGAGGTGTCATCGGATTCTTCTGTGGAATGAGTGCTATGAGTTTGGTCGAAATTTTCTACTACACCTCCATCAGGGTCGTCGGAAATTATTTTAAAAAACCTTAAATTATTGGTTTGAGCTATTTAATAATTCATTAGTGTATTTTTTAGTACAAATTTTGTATACATATAGTAAGTATGAATTATGTTTATATAAAACAAAATAAAAGTGACTCACGAGTCTGTAATTTTATTTCAACTAGACCTTACTAATTCTAACAGGCGCATTACTGTTGAATTCCTATTATACATCATTTAGTTGAAGAATTCGATATATCGAATTACTATTTCAGTATATTTGAAAATATCGATAGGATATTACTTAACTGGAATATGTTCTTACCCTTTAAATTAAAAATTTTTGTTTCTAGAAAACGTTATTAGAGACTTGGATATTCAGACGTTTAGAACCCTTCTCTACTAATCAGTTGAAGTTTTGGGATTTGAGGATGACCTTAACATTGAGGATAGTTCCTTTAAGGTTGCAAAGAAGAGAGATACTGGACAAATCGGCGCTGAGCTTAGGCCTTAAGATAAAAAGTTCGATAAGATAAATTACATGTAACAGGAAGGTGATGTCATCAAAAGTCCACACCGAATTGAAAGATAACAGTCATTCAGCTAATAAGAGTTCCAAGTGTACAGCAAAAATAATATGAAAAAAGGAAAAGAGGTGCAGTTTTTTTTTTTTTTTTTTTTTTTTCAACGAACATCACCTAATAGGCTCTCTAAAAGCATCTAAGGAGAATCTATCTAATGTTTATCACTCCTTACTGGAGCAAGGAGGTATGACTCATTTCAAGGGTATGACTCATCAAGCGGATCTCAACGCCGGATAAGTAGAATGATCGATTAAGGCCCCTTTCACACTGAAGATGCAAGACACAGGATGCATCTTAAACACTGGACTATGTAATAGAACGAGAGCTTTTACACCGAAAATGCAAGTGCATCTTGCAGCTTGGATGCAAGACGCACGTATATCTTGGGAACCAGCCGACTGGAGATTTTTAGCCTGCATCTTTGTTATACTGCTCTTTGCATTTTCGCCCCTTCCACCTCGGCCCGCCCGAAGCAAAATATTTTTGAGGAGCAATCATCGGGTCCGGTCGGTTTACACCGCCAACGCTCGGTCTACCCCCTCCCTTCTCAATTTTCTCTAAGCTCTTGTGATTAACGTCTCTATCAATTGATTTTTTATTTTCAACTATTTTCTTTTTTTTATCTGTTGTTTATTTTATATTTAACTATAGGTTTTTTTAATCGATGAATCTGATTTTCAACTATTTCTGCATATATTTTTGTCTATTTTTTTTTTATTACCATGGAAGAATTAAAATTTTATTCCAAAATTGCAATAAATCGTTATTAATCGTTTTTTTGTGAAATGACGATTGACGATTGGAATGAATCGTTTTTCAACCTCAAGTGGGTCGATGTCCTCAGTGTGGTCCATGCCTTCTTCGTTTTATATATAATTATAAATATATAAATATATATGACTTTAGGTGTGGAATTCACCTTGCTTGCAAGTGCACTCCTCCCCCTTTCCCCTTAGAGTATATCTCTGGATCTGCCACTATATTGACAATATGGAATAGGATAAGCCACCGAAAGACCTAAAAACCATGGTTAAAATGGCATTCTTAGATCCTCCTAATGTTAAAATAAAGTCGGAACAGGGTAAAACTTACTTAATATGAATATAATAACTGACTTAAGGATAACAGGCGTATTCAGTGATGTAACCTCCGGGTAAATGGATTTTAAAACACAGGTCATGATCCAATATTTTGTTAAATGGTAGTAAGTTTACCACATGTGGGAAATGTTGCGTATCACTCTCTATCGATTTCTGGTGGTTACGAGTTCACTTGAAAGCATTCAGTGCTCGAAACACGCCCTGAAGATGACCTGATATGTAGAACATATCAGAATATGTAGAGCAGTCGACTAGCTTCCTTCAGAAAAAAAAAAAAAAAAAAAAATTCTAGTTCCAAAAGCTATCTGGACCTACGGACTTGAGCTGTGGGGGACAACTAAATCATCGAATATCAAACGCATCCAATCCTTCCAGTCTAAAGTCCTTCGAACAATAGTCAATGCTCCATATTATGTCACGAACAAGACCCTACACCATGACCTTAACATCCCATATGTCCATGACATCATTCCATCCAGATTCTCCAACTTTCACCAGAATCTCATACATCATCCCAATCCTCTAGCCCAATCCCTATCCAGCTCCGAGCATCCATACCATCCCCCTCGAAGGTTGAAACGGCAGTGGCCTCGAGATCTTTTGTAAATATGCCTTTGGAGTCCTGGCAATGGCCAGCTTCTCCACTCATGTCCTGAGCGTCTGTGGCTCTAGTGCCCTCTTTCAGTCTCCACTGGCTTCTAATACTAGTGATGCGGCTGGAAAAGTGGCGCTGGGATCTTCCGGAGTCTTGCTTTGCCTTCCACGTGTGGGGGAAAAAGCCTGGTTCGGAGATTCTTGGGCGAATGTATATATTGTATATAGTTATGATTGTGTTTAGAAGTTTTTATTTTATTTTATTTGTTTATTATTATTATTTTTTCTTTTCTTTTTATTTATCTTCTTCATCAGTATTATTTATTTACTTCTTATATTTATTTCTTTATTATTTGTATATATTGTATGAATGAGAACTTTTAGCCCTAATGCTTATAGCCCTCCAGCAGTGGCTGCATGTATTATTATTCAATAAATAGATTAAAAAAAAAAGTTCCAAAAGAACCGAAAACCTATCGACAATAAAAATTTCGATGATACTGAAACTTTTTAAAAATGAAAGTTTTTTCTCCGTTTCAAGCCCTGGTTAACGCAGCTTAACAGAAATAGATCATTGACAAAGGAATACTACCTGGCTATAATAATAATGGTGTGCTCATTTATCCTTACGCGTTTGTTAATACAAATTTCCGAGATATAAAGTTATTTTATGCTCGTATGAGAGAAAATATTTGTGAGGATGAAGAAGAATGTTTCGAACATGGGGAGAGGGACGCGCCCCAACCGTCTCATAAGGATCGTCGCCTATGTGACGTACTTAATCGGGAGTCAATGAGCTATACTCGACAATCTTAAACACTACATGAAATAAGAGCAACTTGTCGCTTAGGATGGTAATTGTAGTGGTTTAGGGTCCCACACTATCTGGGCTTAAAAAAAAAAAAAAAAAAAAATGACGACTGCTCAGTTCAATTTTAACTGTGCTATAGATGCATAAAATTAAATCGTACTCAATCATTCACTGATTTTCTATTCTCATTTTATCATTATCCTACATCATTATATTTGATATTATGTATATTACATATACATTACCTCATTCTCTGATATTATTATAGATATAAGCGAATCACATCCAAGTGTAAGTTGAAAGAAAATGAGAGGGAAATTAAGATTGTTTCTCCACGCAAAAAATCGGCTAGATCTCGCGTTAACAAAGGTCACGTTTATTACCACGTGTGGACGCCTACTAGTGAAGTGTTGCACCTGATCAACTGGAACGTGATTTTGTGGGAAAATTATTCCTCAACATGGAATTGATTATATCCAATGTTTTTAAATTCATCGAGGAGGAATAAAAACCAAATAATTAATTTGTCTTATTTCCACTAACCAATATAATAAATATATAATGAGGAAAGAGATGGCCCGGAACGGTCATCATAAAAAAGTTAAAATATTTTATTAATCCGACGTTTCAACCCAACTATGTAGGTATTCATCAGGGCTAACAAATAGGCTATAGAAAACTGTAGGAGTTGCAAGATATTTGGATATAAAATTGTGTATATAAAAAGAAGTAAGGACATTAAAAAAAATAACGAAAAAGATTAACTATTAAGAACATTAAAATATATAACCAGGTAATCACAAAATATAATATAATAAATAAAGATGTCTAAAAATAAATATAAATAAGAAAAAACGGAATGCAATAATTTATAGTAAGATTTCTTCTTCCTTTGGCACTCTGGCTCATGAGGGATCTTGGCCCCTCCTCAACATTTTTCCTCCACTCAGACCTGCTCTCTGCCGTTCCACTCCAATGTCTCACACCCAATGACTTCAGGTCTTCCTCTACATCTTCCGTCCATCCAGACTACGATGGTCTACCTCTTCCTCTTTAACTATTCGGACTTCCTTTCATTATTTGCTTTGGGAGTCTTTTTTTATTCATCAGATCAATAGTTATATTTAATAAGACAATGTAAGTTAAGTATACAGGGTGTCTTAGTTCTTAATTGCCAAACTGGGGAGCAGAGGGGGGAGGGTTATTCTAGATAAAATTTTCAACAAAAAAGTACATTTGACGCATGTGGCAATTCAGAACAGAAAAGGAGTTAAGACCAATTTTGTGTGGTCACTTTTTTATTTATTTTTTTAATAGGAAGGAATTGCTCTAAAGCAGTTCAGGATAACAGCAAATCTCTGTACAGCGACCGTTTCAGACCTCCTGAAAGTCCCTTTTATCATTGGCCTTAGTAAATTTTTTTTTATTTTATTTTTTTTTAACTTTTATTATGATATTTACAACTGTATTAGTATGAATACATCAAGTAAATGTGTACAGAGGAATATAATAACATGAAACACACTTGTTGAGAAACTACCCATTGGTAGCACTCTAATAATTTGTCTACATGAGGAGATCACGAGGCCATCTTCTATTCAGACTCCTCGGAGGGTTATCAGGAATCGAAGAGGAAGCAAGGTTAGAAACAAGAGGATTCGGATGGTTATGAAGTTTATTATGGAAGGATAGGTATCTGGATTCGGCCGAATCGGAAACATATGGAACATTGAGGTCTTTATGGATTATTTTATTTGTGACAAAGTAAGGAGCATTGAGGATTTTATGAAGGATTTTGGATTGTAAAGATTGGATACGAGAGGAATTTGATGGTTTAGTGGAGCCCCATAGTTCAACTCCATAAGTCCAAATAGGTCTTATTATAGTCATGTATATGAGTCGTTTGTAATTAATGGGAAGTTTAGAGCGTTTGTCCAGTAAGTGTTGGAGTAAGCGGAAATGTCGAGCAGTTCCTTGCCGTTTCA